TTATATCAACGGGCACATCATCACTGTGAGCTAAATTCCACAGAAGGTTTAAAACCTTATGAGCCATCACACCATCTTTGTCATCTTCTGCTAGCCGGCGTATTAACTCCAGCAGCTTCTCACGTTGTTTTTTGCTTGCATTTGTCCAACTAGCCTAATTAAAAAAAAAACAAAAAAAAAAAACAAACACACTAGATTAAAACTTGAATACAGGCAGAGAATTTTTATGGATTATCTAGCAATTTAAAGCACGAGCACTAAACTTATGCAAGGAAAAATCCACTTTATTAAACAGATATTTATTTAGTAAAATGCCATTAACAATAATGTTGAACCCAGTTTAAATGGGCTAAAAAAAAAAAAAAAGTCAAAATATGCTCATCAATAACCCTTTCTCAACAAATGTATACATACAGTACATGTAGCCTCGCAGAAGTGAGCCTTTTTCCATGGGGCCATACACAATATATTTGCCGCTGTGTTTGTGCTGAAGAACATGCTGTGCTATCAGCCGACACTGAGATCTCAGAGAGAGCTCAGAGCCTCCAAATTCTGGTACTGGAAGGCCAAATTTTCGATCACCGGATCACTGGGATAGCCTGATTGGCTATCAAAGTGATCAGTCACTGTACAGCCCATCCCTGTGATATTTCACCTCTAGATTGGATAAAAATTACACTTATACTTTTCTCCTCTTGCAAAGAGAAAGATGTAACACCACTATATTGCCAAAAGTATTCGGTAACCCCTCCAAATTATTGGATTCAGGTGTTCCAATCACCTCCATGGCCGCAGACTGCTTCTACAAACATTTAGGAAAAAAATGGTTGTGCTCAGGAGCTTCAGGAAATCAAGCAGGGTGCCGTGATAGGTTGCCACCTGTGCAATAAGTCCATCCGTGAAATTTCCTTGCTACTAAATATTTCACGATCAGCTGTTAGTGGTATTATAAACAAAGTGGAAACAACTGGGAACAACAGCAACTCAGCCACGAAGTGGTAGGCCACAACAAAATGACAGAGTGGGGTCAGCACATGAGGCGCACAGGGCACAGAAGTCGCCAACTGTCTGCAGAGTCAATAGCTAAAGACCTCCAAACTTTGTGTGGCCTTTAGATTAGCATAACAACAGTGCCTAGAAAGCTTCATGGAATGGGTTTCCATGGCCGAGCAGCTGCATCCAAGCCTTACATCAAAAAGTGTCTGATGCAGTGGTGTAAAACATAGCGCCACTGGACTCTGGAGCAGTGGAGACGTGTTCTCTGGAGTGACAAATCAAGCTTCTCTGTCTGGCAATCCGATGGACGTGTCTGGGTTTGGAGGTTGCCAGAATGGTACTTGTCTGATTGCATTGTGCCAAGTGTAAAGTTTAGTGGAGGGGGGAATATGGTGTGGGGTTGTTGAGAACTCTTAAGGCATCAGCATACCAAGACATTTTGGATAATTCCATGCTCCCAATTTTGTGGGAACAGTTTGGGGATGGCCCCTTCCTGTTCCAACATGACTACGCACCAGTGCACAAAGCAAGGTCCATAAAGACATGGATGAGACAGTTTGGGGTGGAGGAACTTGACTGGCCTGCACAGAGTCCTGACCTCAACCTGACAGAACACCTTTGGGATGAATTAGAGCACAGAGTGTGAGCCAGACCTTCTCGTCCAACATCAGTGCCTGACCTCACAAATACTTCTGGAAAAATGGTCAAATATTCCCATAGACACACTACTAAACCTTGTGGACAACTTCTCAGAACAGTTGAAGCTGTTATATTGTTATAGCTGCAAAGGGTGTGTCAACTCAATATTGAACCCTACGAATTTAAAACTGGGATGCCATTAACGTTCATGTGCGTGTGAAAGCAGGCATTCCAAGACTTTTTGGCAATATAGTGTGTGTGTGTATATATATATATATATATATATATCAGTGTGTTTTAACCACTTCCTGCACTTAGGATGTCATATGACATCCTAGGCTTTAAGTGGAGATACCAGGAGGATGCCTGCAACTACAAGGCATCATCCTGGTATTTATGTTTCTGCCAGCAATGCTCTGTAATGTAAAAGTAATCCTAGTAGCCAATTAGCTGTTGGACTGCTTTTACAAGTGGCAGTGGGAAGGATAGCAAAAATTTGCATTTGAAAAAGCATTGTGCAAATACCGTGTGACCAAATAAAATAACAAAATAGCAAAACCCACACATGTATTATATATATATATATATATATATATATATATATATATATATATATATATATATATATACATACACACATACACACATACATATATATACATACACACACATATATATATACATACATATATATATATACATACATACATACACACACACACACACAGAAAGTGGTCTCATCACTGCAGATTATAGAGTCTCAGTAGTCGTGTTTTTCAGCATGGGCCCTAAGTCTAGGTGGGCTTTTTGTGCATGGGCTTTAGGAGAGGCTACCCATGCATGCCATTCCTCCGCAGTGTATGCTGTATTGCGTCACGGGAAACAATCACCCCAGTTTGGCTTTCTACTTCTTTAGCCAACTGCAATGCACTTTCCGGGTAGGGGGTGCGTGTATGCGCCGCCCTACCCATGCTGCTATTTGCTGCTGAACATGTCAATCACCAGGTCCTGGCCGGCGATTCTTCACACAGCAGAGAAATACAAAGCAACATGTCTCCCATGTAAAACACAACACACAGTTAACCCTTTGATCGCCCCAGATGTTAACCCCTTCCTGCCCAGAGTTATTAGTACAGTCAGTGCTTTTTATTAGCACTGCTCACTGTATTAGTGTGACTGGAGATGTCAGTGGCAGTTAGTTCCCACCCAGTGTCAGAATACAGTCCCGCTATAAAGTTGCTGATCGCCACCATTACTAGTGTTTAAAAAAAATTCCAGTATATATACTGCCATTTGTAGACGCCATAATTTTCACGTAAACAAATGAATATACACTTATTGGGATTTTTCAAGCACAGACATACAGAATACATTTTGGCCTAAATTTATAAAGAAATTCTATTTTTCAAAAGTGTTGGTCTTTTTTTGTTTATAGCGGAAAAAAGAAAAAAAAAGAGAGGTGATCAAATACCACTGAAAGAAAGCTCTATAAGTGGGGAAAAAATGCCACATTTCATTTATGTACAGCGTTGCATGACCGCGCAATTGTCAGTTAAAATAATGCAGCGCCCTATCACAAAAAATGGCTTGGTCAGGAAGGGGAGTAAATGCTCTGGAGGGCAAGTGGTTAAGTAATGCCCGTATCTGCTGGACACCTGTTTAATGAATAATTAGACTCACCTGGAGTTGAGTTCTTATTAGGATTTTGTCTAAAATTTAACTTTGTTCCTAGGACGTTTATTGGGGTGTATTCATTTTTGCAACATGGTCTTGAATGAATTTGCAAACAAGATTTGTTAATTTGCACACACAAAAAAGTAATTTTCCTAACAATCAATGGCCTGCATTTGAGGGAGTATTTTGTAGTATTTTTTCCCCCCATAGAAAATGTTGATTCTGAAAGGAAAGTAAAGGTTTTCTGGCAAAACGGTTATGCAGGCCATAAACGATTCGTTTATCGGCTGATTTTTCGTCCAAAAAACGAAACATCGTCATTCTGTAAACCGGTGCTGCTACCAATGATTGTGAAAATCGGCCGTTTTTTTACAAATTTTTCAGCATGACTGATGAACAAAATGAGGAGGAACCTCGAAAATCGTCCAATGCCATTGCCCCACTAACACTGCGAAAACTGGCCGATTATTCTTTTGGACGAAAAATCGGCCAATAAACTGTCTATGGCCTGCATAAGGGTGTACTCATTTATGCTGAGCACTGTATTTATATATACACACACAAAAAAAAATATGTCTAATGTATATATACACAAATATATATGTTTGGCTTAGGGTTCTAGGTAATTTTCTAGCAAAAAAAAAAGTCCGAGTTGGCCCAGTAGAGAAGTAGTTAAAGCGGAGTTCCAGCAGTTTGTGTTTATTAAAAGTCAGCAGCTACAAAAACTGTAGCTGATGACTTTTAAAAAAACACACACTTACCTGTCCCAGGATCCAGCGATGTGCTCACCCTCGCTGTCCCTTCTCTCCATGGCGCCAGCATCTCAACTGTTGGCACCAGGCTGTGACAGCTTGTGACTTCACAGCCGGGTGCCCACTGCGCATGTTACGCTGCGCACCCTGATTGGTCCAGCAGTCTTCTGGGACCTGTGCAAGTTCCCAGGAGACTGCAGGAGGAAGGAGGGGGCCGAACTTCTGCCTCACTTTGATGCAGCAAACTGAGCCAGAAGTGGGAGTGGGCACCTGTCAAAACCAGGTATCTACTCCCCCTCAAAAGGTGCCAGTGGAGGGGGGGGGAGAGGATGTAGGGACGAGGGAACTCCGCTTTAAGTAGAATCTTCTGAGTCCTACTAGACGTACAAACAACAACTAAAATACACATGTGTATATCACTGCGATCATCTAAACAAGATAATTTATTCTGGGCTGTTCTTTGGTGGTAGTCTATGCTAATAGCAGTTCTATACAGCTAAATGTTACTATTTTGTGCCAGTCTCCTTTGAGAAAAAAAAAACAAAAATCAGAAGATATCCATAGTGCGATGTTCTGTTTAACCACTTGCCTACCGGGCACTTATACCCCCTTATTTACCAGGCCAATTTTGGGCTTTCAGCGCTGTCGCACTTTGATTGACAATTGCGCGGTCATGCAAGATAGTACCCATATGAAATTTTTATAATTTTTTTCTCACAAATAGAGCTTTCTTTTGGTGGTATTTAATCGCTGCTGGGCACTTTACGTTTTGTGCTAGAAGCAAAAAAAGTGCAAAACATTTTGAAAAAAAAAAAAAAAGTTTCTTTGTTTCTATTATAAAATTTTTCAAACAGGTAATATTTCTCCTTCACTGATGTGCGTTGATGAGGCAGCACTGATGGGCACTGATAGGTGGCAAAGATATGCGGCACTGATAGGCAACACTGATAATGGGTACTGATAGCACTGATAGGTGGCACTGACTGACATCACTGCTGGGCACTGACTGGCACAACTGCTGGGCACTGACTGGCAGCACTGCTGGGCACTGACAGGCACAACTGCTGGGCACTGACTGGTGGCACTGACTTGCAGCACTGCTGGGCTGCACTGATGGGCACTGGTGGGTGGCACTGGTGTGTGGCACTACTGGGCACAGGTGGGCGCACTGCTGGGTGGCACAGGTGGGCGCACTGCTGGGTGGCACAGGTGGGCGCACTGCTGGGTGGCACAGGTGGGCGCACTGCTGGGTGGCACAGGTGGGCGCACTGCTGGGTGGCACAGGTGGGCGCACTGCTGGGTGGCACAGGTGGGCGCACTGCTGGGCACAGGTGGGCGGAACTTGTGTGTGGCACTGCTGGGCACCGATCATCAGGGCACTGACCGGTGCCGATCCCCGCTCTGACAACTGTCAGTTTTCGGCAGTAGTTTCCTCACGATCTGACAGCGTGAGGAAAGTGCAGCCGAGAACCAGCATTTGCATTTCCCGGTGATCAGCGTGTCATTGGACACGGCTGATCACGTGGTAAAAGGCCGCTGTGATTGGCCTTTTACCACGTCACATGATCAGCTGTGTCCGTAGGACACAGCGATCATGGAGATCGCCGGGGGCGCGCAGGAGAGCACGTTCTGGGAGGACATCATATGACGTCCACCCAGAACTGGCCAGCCGCAGTGCAGCCGTCATTCGGTTATCTTCGGTCGGCAAGTAGTTAATGAACACATGTCAAAGTTGCAAAACTGGATTCAGGTGTTAAGATTTTTGTCACCCTCATGAATGGGTTAAAGTGAACCCATTCCTAAGGGTGTAAGCCTTGAAAATGAGCTGTCTGAGCCATCAAGCAATGGTAAAGAAGATGCAGGATGCCCTTCCTTGGGACCTTCAGGGGAGGACATAAAGGGGCGATTTTTATGAAGACTTTGCAGCTAAGTAGACCCTAACTGCTGACCACATGAAGACAGTGGCATAAAATGTCCTTGGCATGTGTCAGGGTAGGACACAAGAAAGGGAGGTTACAAAGAAGAAACCTTGAGTAGGAAAGAGGGTTTGGGTCCTAGGACCACCGTGTCCTTGTATAAGACAATAAAAGGCTCCTTACAAGAGAAGAGCCGCCAACTTAGAGCCACTACAGTCCTGACAAAAGTGAGGGCAACTCAAAAGGTTACCTTACTAGTGAGATCCCAAATGGGCAGACCCAAATCCATTCAAAAGGGAGATGTCTGAGGAACTGAAGGCACCAGATTCAGAAGGTCTAAGTGGGGGTGGGGGGACATGAACTCCTTGTATAAAATTCTTACAAAGTGTGAAGCCAAAAGGTTTTTTGGAATAAAACAGACAAAGGCACAGACTTGACCGTTTAAAATACCAAGAGCCTGCTGATGGTGCAAACCACACAGCAAGGAACAAAAATATTCTCGAATTGAATAACAGTGACTTTGAAGCAGGGTGGAACAGAGGACCCTGTGGCACATGGTCTGGCTTGTCTGCCAGGATTCTGTGCATGTTTGTGTACCAAGTTCTCCAGGACCAATTTGGAGCAATGAGGATCACTGGAATCTGTTCTTCCTCTTTCATATGGTACAGCTGAGGGAGAGCAGTCACTGTAGGGAATGCATATGCCAGTCAAAACAAGGACCAAGGAAATACCAAGGCATTCATCAAAAACGTAAGGGGATCTCCTGGACCTGCCCAGTTTCTAGTTTAATAGGGAGGCCATGATATCCATATCTGCGGTTTTTAATTTTTGACAGAGAAACAAGATCATGGAGTGAACAGTCCAAGCATTGAAATAGAAATCACACTTTCCATTCTGGGTATATAGATAGCAGACAGTTGGAACTTTGTCCCCCACTCAGGAGAAAATCAGACTTGCTCTTTTCAGGGCTGCCCAACTTCCGGTACTCCCATGGTGGTTTATGTTGGCTAAAGCTGTGGCATTTTCTGACTGAATTCTAACTGGGTCCAGTGTAGGAGAATACGCTTTATGGCTATAGGTTCCGGAATGTTAATGGGGGGGGGGGGGGGGGGGGGCCTTCACTCCTTTGTGGACCAGGTTCCCTGGACAATCAGGGAACTGAAGACAGTGCCCCCGAGTCCTTCATTGCCACCTTCCATAGAAAGGAACGTATGATTTCCTGGATTCTAGGTCTTGGGAGTTAAAAATTACCGTGCCAGGGAAATTTTCTCCTGTTTGGACAGAAGTATTGATTGAACCAGAGGAAGGATCTGCTAGACCCATAGTGAAAATTTTGAGCTGCAAAGGTTTTGAGAGTATTTGAGCAAAGGCAACTACCTTGAAGGAGGCCACCATAACCCTCATTAAGAAGCATCACAAAGGATGCCTGGTTGACCTGAGGGTCCAACAGCTGAACATCAGAGAGGCAGTCTTTTCCTGGGAAGAAAAGGTTTGGCCTGGGCCATACTCAAGATCAGCCCCAAATACTCCAGGTAGTGGGATGGCTGGAGAGCAGACCCCTTGAAGTTAAATTAGCCATCCAAAAGTTTGAAGAGCTGGATTTTAATTTGGATGTTTGAAGACCAGTCCATGGGTAAGGTATCTTGTCCAGATACCAAGTGACCTAGATGCCTTGAGATCTTAGCAGAGACACGAGCGAAGCAAGCACTTTTATGAAGACACAGTGCAGAGGAGAACATGAATGACAGGATAACAAATGGAAAGTGTTGACCTCCCTCAGCAAAGCGTACAATGTGTCGGACTGCATGAAAGATGGGATTGTGAAGATGGCTGTCCGACAATGTCATAAACTACCCTGATCTGAGATAAGTGGTGACAAATTTTGTGAAGTCTAATGCGAAGGCAGGTGTGCATAAATCCTGTAAGTTAAGGAAGCGCCCAGTTTAATTTTCATCAATTAACAAAATGTAAAGTATATGAACAGAAGAGAAATCAAAGTCAGATTAGTATTTGGTGGCCTCCTTTTTCCTTCAAAACAGCAGCAATTCTTCTAGATACATGCTACCCTCAGGTTTAGAAAAAAAGGATTTTAAATGTTAACCACTTGTCTGATACAGGGCGGCAGGGTTGTGCAAAATCATGTATATATACACGCACACACGTGATTTGCATTTCTGGGTAGGAGGCACACACGCTGCCCTACCTACGCCACGATTGGCGGCTAAAGATATCAATCACCAGGTTCTGGCCGGCGATTCCCAACCGGCACTCGGCAATCGTTGGGCAAAGCTGACGGGAGAAACCTGTGTGTGAGCAACAGGTCTCTTTCGTCAGCATAGACATGCTGCTTTGTATCTCTGCACAGCAGAGATACACAACAGCATGTCTTCCTAGTAAAACACAACACAGTTCACACAGTAAAATACACACAGTTAACCCTTTGATCGCCCCAGATGTTAACCCCTTTCTGCCCATTGTCTTTAATACAGAGTCAGTGCTTTTTATTAGCATTGTTCACTGTGTTAGTGTCACTGGGGATGTCAGTGGGAGTTAGTCAGTTCCCCCCAGTGTCAGAATGCCTGCTGCAGTCCCGCTATAAGTTGCTGATCGCCGCCAATACTAGTATAACATTTTTTTTGCAAAATCCCAATACACACACACAGGCATTTGTAGATGCTCTATCTTTTATGTAAAACAATTAATGTACATGTATAAGGATTTTTTTGTAGCAAAGATATGTAGCAGAATATATTTTGGCTTAAATTTTAAAGAATTTGTTTTTTTTTTTTTTTTTTTTGTTTTTTTAACTTTTAGTGGATAGGTTTTAAAGCTAAAAAGTAAAAATGTTTTGGTTTTTTTTTTTTTTTTTTCAAAAATTGTCACTCTTTTTTGTTTATAGCGCAAAAAAAAAAAAAAAAAAAAACAAAAAACTGCAGAGGTGATCAAATACTACCGAAAGCAAGCTCCATTTGTGGGGGGGGGGGGGAAAAAAAAAGGACAAATTTAATATATGTAAAGCGTTGCATGACCGCGCAATTGTCAAAGTAACGCAAAATGGCCTGTTTAGAAAGGGGGGTAAATCCTCTGGAGGGCAAGTGGTTAATGTTTTCCTTAGAAAGCAACAGATCTGTGTTGAAAAAAAAAAATTATATACCATGTACTGAAAAATGCTCACGTAAACCACCATAGCTCCCACAAAAAAACCCTAAATAACGGTTAACAGTTACTTTAGAGGCAGAAGTCTAAGGAAGACGACTTGTACATAAACTAAGAAACTCTGTGCCACCCCTATATACTGCTCTAAATGCACCATACACGGACCATTGAAAATAAACAAATATATGTAGGTAATATAGGCGACTACTTACAGTCTATAAAAATACAATCATTTAAAATTACTGCAGACGAACACCTATAATTAAATTTAAAAAAAAGATTTTACCTTAAAACAATCAAAAAGATGATCAAGTTGTTCAGGAGAAAAATCCCACGCTAACTTGGCAAGTAAATCATGGACATTTTTTACAATGGCTTCATGTTTTCCTGCCTGCACAATAAAACAGTAAAGGCACATGAACATTTGCAACATTTAACATTGGTACACTCAACTACGTTGTACAACCAGAAAATTTAAAACATTAGGGGTATGGGTATAATGTTTTTTAAACAGTTTACAAATTGTTCTCGAGTGAGCAAAAAGGACTGCACATTAGGGGCAAAGCTCAATTTACAGCAGAAAGGCTAAGGAGAGCATTCTTCTATACCTCCACTACCATCCTGTTCACCAGTTGAATCTACAAAACTGTTGTATACATTTAAATAAACAAAGGGCAAATGACCAATGACCCTAGGCCCATAAGGGAGAGTGCTCTGCCTTAGCGATTTAGGTATAGTGCGCAAGCTTGTAGGGCAGTTAGAGTCATATGCAACTCAATATTTGGAAGTACCAACTTTTTCTCCAGTGAGTGAACATGGAGGCAAACAAACTTATTTTCTGAACAGGCATATACAGATTAACTTTACAAAACTGTAGGATAACAATCCTTGTTATGAGGACAGAGTGGGTCACATCTGGGGGACAGTGGAAAGTTTTTTACATTAATGCAAAGAATGCTTGAGAACCAATTTAAAAAGGTAAAACATTTTACCTTTAGAACTACTTTAACTTCATGAGTAGTCACACACTCCTGCCAACTTACCGCTTCTTACACACTACGTGATAGTCAATCTGGAGGAATAAATACCTTTTCAGGATTTGGCCACTCCCCCACAATCACATATCTCTTTCTCAAGAGGGGCCTAGACATTACAGATCACAGGAAAAAAAAAAAAAACAAAAAAAAACACAACTGATCTAAGCAGTGCAGGTTTCTAACAGGCAATCAGCCATTTGAATCCTGCATAAAGTCTGATTGTAAAATGAAGAGATGGATGGCAATGGTAAGATGCCCATCACAGCACTAAACTGAAGCAGCAAGGCATACAATCATAAAGCATTATAAAAGCCTGTTTTCAGATAGGCACGGTACTGCGGTGAATGACTGTCATTTGGGAGGTGGTGGAGCACGAAACACTGCTGGGTGGCCTGGAGGATAATATTGAGTAT